GCCTGCCTTGTAGTCCACATCACACAGGGGCTTCAGCAAGCTGGTCAGCAGCTTGAGGTAGGAGGCAACGAGGTTCTGGTCCTGGCTGGGCGACACCTCCGGCAGACTGCTCCTGTGGTACTCGAGCAGCGGCTCCAGTAGCCATTTCGACACCGACAAGATCTGACTCTTCTCGCTTTCGGTCAACGTCTCGGGGCAGTGAGCCTGCAGACAGCGACAACAGACAAAGAGAGTTTCGGCTTGTCTTTGTCTCCTGCTGTGCTGTATACCTTCATCCAGCTATCGATGAGGTGCTTGTAGCCCATTTCATGAGGCTCGAAGTATACCTGCGGACATCCATGTGTTCAGAGCCCGCAGCTATGTGTTCAGATGGAATTCTTGTGCTTACCATTCCGCACCGGCTGACGGTCGCCGGTGACCCCAGGGCGAGATCCATTGGCTCGAAGATCATGTTCATGTTGGGAGCCATCGCGATGATCTCACCTGTATGACCACAAGCGCAGAGAAAGGACGGGCGTGTCTCGCGTGCATCTGCTGCTGCCTACCGCTCGTGAGACACAGCTTTTTTTTGTCGTCGAGCACGGTGTTCATGTTCTCAATCCACACAGCATCCACCGGGCCGTCGAACACAAGCCACTTGCGATCCTGAAAGGATCAACACACGAAAGAGACGTGAATTGCGCGCAAGACACTTGTGAGGTTGCCTTTTACCTCGCTCTGGTATCGTGCGAAGTTTCTGTAGATAGAGTACGGCGAGGATGCCGTCGCTCCACTCGTGAGAGACCTCATCGAAGCACCCGTAGAGCTGCCCCACCTTGATGGACTTGGGATTCAGCGTTGTCATGTGCACTTTGTGCTCGTCCATCAAGCCCTTCTCCGCGAGGTCCGTGAGGGCCCCAGCCAGCATCCGCAGCGAGGACGTCTTGCCGCCGGAGGGCAGCCCGACAACCATGAGGCCGTGTCTGACGATGATCATCTCGTACAGCTGGGGGAGGGGCTGCAGATTCGCTCGAGATTTTTGTTCAGCGCATCAAGGAGAGCCTGCGAAATACCAAGACGCCCCAAAAGCAGAGCTTTGCAGCATCATGATACGTGTGCGTGCATACCTTGTAGTCGGGCTGAGGCAGCACGACCCCCTGGAAGAGATCGGAGGTGATGCCCTGGAAGAGGGGCAGATCGTGGGACAAGAACTTGGCCAGGTTGACGTCGTTGATAGCCCGCAGCATCAGGATGCTCTCGTCCTCGTTGGGGAACTTGCGCTTCAGATTGCCCGCGGCAGTCAGGACGGACTTGACGGCCCTCATCCCATAGTCGTAGTGATCCTGGGACGACAGCTGCTGGAGGAACTTGGGCACATTGACGTCTCGCAATGCACGCAGCAGCAGCTTCTCCTCGTCCATGTCTGAATCAACACACACAAAGAGACATACATACAAGAAAATCATTCGGTCTCAGGCCGTATGCTATGCGTGTCGTTGTGTGTCTCTCCATCTGTCTGTCTGTCTGTCTGTGTGACCTTGGTCAGCTCGCTTGAGGAGGCCGGCAGCATTGATGACCGATCGCATAGCCCTCATACCGTGGTAATCGTAGTGATCCTGTCGACAACCAGCCAGCCATGGGAGGAGACCGACAGAGAGACTGTTGGCATCGATGTGCATATCCACCTGTGCGGAGAGCTGTTCGGACGACAGTTGGAATGTGGCGACCATCTTTCTGGCCAGATCGCGGGCCTGATCGAATCCGAATGAGTAGAGCATGATCTCTCCGATGAGGGCATAGTCGGGAACCATCATGGCCATCGGTCTGAAGAGCGCCTTGAGGTTGTCGGGCAGCTCAGCGCGGCGGGTGTTGCCCCGGTTCATCGTGATGAACACGTTGAAAGTCGGGTACATCCGGATCACTGAACCCTCAAAATCTACCTCCTGCACACACACACATCCTGTCTGTCACGTGTGCAATCGATTCCTGGCCGTGAACAACTGCGTGCCTTGGAGTCGTTGAATCCGGCGAGCTCCCCCTTTGCGCCGAAGAGGATGAGCAGCTGCTGTGCAATGACGGAGAGCACCTTGATGCGATTGAACTCATCCAAGCAGCACCATGCGCCCGAGGAGGCCAGGCCCTTGAAGAACTTGCCAACCATGATGTAGTCCATCATCTCAGAACAGTTGAACACCACACACTGCTTCGCCAGCGCCTTGGCCAGATCCTTCGTTGTCTCCGTCTTGTCCGTACCAGCCGGGCCGGCCGGGGCGCCACCTGCACACACAGCCACACACAAAGGGAGGAGACACGGGGTGCAATTGGTGTTATGTGAGAGTGGGTTGTGCTACACATGGACTGACCAAGGTTGAGCTGCTGTGCACCGAGCAGCGTCATGTAGCACATGTCGGCGTGTGGTGTGATGACAAGTCGCATGCTGTTGCCGAGGTACTCGTATCCGTAAGGGAAGTTGGTCTGCACGCACTGGCACCAGCAGTCGTCGTTCTGCCAGTAGTAGCGCAGCTGGGCAATCCACTCAAAGGCAGAGATGTTGTCGATCTTCTCCTTGACCAAATTCTCCACCACGTCCTTGGCATGCACGTCGATGACGATCAGCGCACCCACACTGATCGAGTTCATCTTGTTGAGGCCCGTGCGGACAAGTGCCACCATATCGAGGAGCTGACGGTTGAGGCCGTCCCAGTACTGCTTGACCGTCCCGTTCTGAATGGCCTCCTCCACGTCGCTCGTCCAGTGCACCTGGCTCCCATTCAGCACACACTGACCCGGATGCACCAACACCCACTCGGCTCTGCATCAGCCCACAGCAAAGCCGCAAGGCACATGGTTATCTTCCCACTCAAATAATGCGTTTATCTGGGCATCGATCAATCACCTTGGCTTTGTAGGGTAGTCGAGTATAGATTTGTACAGGACGTCTCTGACGGCCTTCTTCATCTGTATCTCAATCTCGGTCATCCAGGTCTCGACATTCTTGTCCTTGGTGTAGATGGTCTCCACGAATGGCACCTTCTCGCCCTCGCCGCTGTACATGGAATCAGCCGAGTAGTCCTCGTGGAACTGAAGCTTGGCCATACTCTCAAAGACCTTCTTCAGGAAACTGCACCGCACACAGTGATTGATGGGTTGGCGGCATCGGCGGTCTGTGTCTGTCATGATTGTGTTGCTTACGGCTGGACGCGCGTTGGGTCTTTGGTCTGCGAGAGGATCTCCAGCAGGTCGTCATTGGACAGGAAGTAGAGGCGGGCAAACAGACTGCGCTTCGTCTCCAGGTAATCATCCAAACCTGCATACATGCGACAGACAAGACGGTTCTTCTACGGAGACGCGTCGTCGATGGGTCTACAGCGCACCTTTCTGGACGAGCTCGAGGTTCTTATTTGCATCTTGGAAGTCCTCGAGCAGTCCCTCCCGTGCGCACATCTCGAGTGCACCCGGATTGTCGTGTGTCCGCTTCATGGTGCTGCGCCACATGTTGTCGACGGACTTGAAGCGTTTGCCCTCGGCCGGTAGCTGCTTCATGATGTCGGGTGAGTCGAAGATGGGCTGCAGGTAGAGCCACGACCGCTGGCACTTGAGCCACTCGTCCAGTGTCTCGGAGACAGTCAAAAGCTTGGCGGCCCATTCCTCTATCTCCTCCTCGAAGGGCTTCTTGAACGGACTGAACTGCATCGCCTGGGACGTCAGGATGTGCTCGTCAAGCAACGCGCTCACCTACAGCCAGCAGAGACATGACAACATCCCTGCTGCGCTTGCGTGTCTGTCGTGTGTGCCTTACGTCGTCCGATCCCTTGAGGATATATGTGTCTGTGGCGCGGTACTTCTCCCTGACGTCAAACTCGATGCCCTGCCAGTCCTTTTCATCTTAGCCAAAGCCTGACCAAGAGATGACGCACACGTGGGCATCCACTAGTATGTGTCTCTTTGTACTGATTGACCTTTTCGATGGAGAACTCCTTGCCGGCCTTGTCGCCGATCTCAGATATGGCATCCACACTCTCATGCATTCCCAACTCCAAAAACCGACTGCAGTGAGCAAAGAAGCTGCTATGGATTGACAAATCACACCACCATTTGTTCAACCGACCGCAGCGTGAAGTCTTCCATTGCTGGCGAGACCTGCACGCTGCATTTATCTGAGACCTGCTGCCAATGTCGGTCTCTCATGCCGTCCTTGCGCAGAGCCACCACGAGCGGCACGAAGGCTTTGAACTCCTCCAGCTCTGACCGGATCTTCTCGGCTATCTTGAGAACGTTCTTGAGCACCTCGGGGTTGTTGCGGTCGCGGAAAGCGCGGGCCACTTCGAGCATGATTTTGCTCCCGTTCATGACCTGGTCCTCCAGCGCCTTGGCGTCGATCTGGTCGAAGGGGCCGTCGGTCCACTTCTTGCGGTTCACCAGCCAGGACGCTGTCATCGTCCACAAGTTGCTGAACGGCTCAAAATCCTGACAAGGCAAAGATGTGTGGATGGGCTGCCATGGCTGGTTTAGCTGCCGTACCTTTGCGATTCGCTGCAGTCGTGTGTAGTCGGTAGAGTCCTTCCCAAAGAGGCCCTCCCGAGAGTTGAAGAGCTTGGCCAGCAGCAAAGACACCTGCAGCCGCTTGCTAACCGACGCCACATTCGCAGCAATCTCGTCAATCTAAGAAAGAGAGCACCACACACAGACAAGCAAGTACATGTATGGGGTACTTGATGCGCAGAGGGACAAGTTGACCTTAGTGAGGTCATGGTACTGTGCGAAGTCTCCAACGATGCCGGCGAAGTAGTTGAGTACCTCGTCGAACTCAGACTGCTGTGACTGCATGGTGTTGAGGAAGTTCTCACGCTCCTTGGTGAGAGCGGCGTCGGTGGCCGCGATGAGGTGGTATGTCGCCTTCGGGGACCTGAGCATCTTCCAGCGCGTGTGGTAGTCGTCAGGACTCAACTTGTACCTGACACACACATACATACATAGACATGCATACACTAAGACATGCAACACAGCCAATCGCGCTAGAAGGAACCGGAAGCTTTCGAGGATCGGGAAGAGGTCGATATTGGCGTTGATCTCTACGGTGAGCTTCTCGACCTCTGCCGGCAGGCTGGCCATGTATCCCTCAGCTTCGACAGCTCCTCGATGTGCTTGGGTCTCTTCCGCAGCCGTACACACATGCCATGGAAGCTCTCCAGCACAGTGGCGCACTGCTCACGCAGCCGCACGGCCAGCACGTCCTGCATGAGCCCGGCCAGGCTGTGGAACTTGCCCTCCAGCAGCTTGCGGATCTCCTTGCAGCTGAGCTGGAACAGCCCGATGGTGAGCGTCTCTGGGATGTTGCCATACAGCCGCTCCTCCTTGTCGACGTTCTCCTGCACCTGTTTGGCGAAATTGTCGTTGGAAGGAGGCGTCTCCTGCTCCTGCAATGCCTTGACGTGAGCAGCGGGGTCCAACTTTAGAAGGTCGATGTACTGCTGGAAGCACTGCAGGTAGTCGGTCATGTATGGAAGGGTGGTCTTGAGGCTATCGTCCAGTGAGGTGCGAAGCTCCTGCACCAAGCCCTCGTCGAGGTTGACTGAAGCCAGCACCATCTTAGGCTGCGTCTTGAACAGGTGCGGCAGGATGAACTTCTCGGGCTGGGGAATGTCGCCCATCTGCTGCAAACTGATTGATACACACACACAGAGGTAAGGAGACATGTCTGCATTCAATTGTCTGCACTTGAGAGGGATTTCGAGTGGTGCTGACCCCTTTTCGAGGATGTCTAGTGTGGCTTCGACGAACTGTGCTGGGTCAGTGCGGAACTGGAATCCCTCATTGTCCTGTGTCTTGGTTAGCTCGATGGCGAAGAGGGCCGTGCGCTCGGGGGGGCCGTCGAGGTGCGGCTTGAACTCCTCACTGATACGAGCAGAATGATGTCATGAAAAGAGACAGAGCGAGACATCCTCACGACAGACAAATAGAGAGAGATGTTTTTGTGTCTCTTTTCGATGCCACCTCCATTCGTTCTCGACCGTGTGGACCGACTTGACGTCGACTTGTTTGGGTAGGTTGAGAGCCTCCACCACCTTCGAGACGCGGCCAGTGTCTTGCTTTACGGATTGCTTCTTGGCCTCGGCTCCCTCAGTAGCCGCAAGCTGAAACACACGCCATGTGCGAGGAAGCAATTTGAAACGGATGGTCCAAGCTGCAGACTTGCCTGTAATCGGAGGCTGTCAGCGGTGGAAGTCAGCCGAGCTATCTCCGCAGTCGCCTCTTGGTACATCATCTGAAGTACTCTTTTGTACTTTTCGACCTGAGTGTCACAGCCAGAGAAGGGTGGCGCACTGTGAGGGTGGGTCCGTTCTTATTGTGCTGTGTCTGTGCATGTGGCTGACCACCTCGCTGTCGATATAGAGTGGGGTGTGGACAAAAGCGAACATAACATACATACGCAAAGAAAGAGGTACGGAGGGGTGTCTTTGCAGACAAGCGTGGAGGCTGACCGTGGTACGAGTGGGGCTTCAGGGGGCGGTTCGAAAATGGTCTCACTCATGGTCTTCACCGTTGTCAAAGAGGAACCGATGACGAATCGATGGTGCGAGCTTGCGAGCCGAAGGTGTGAGCCCACTTTTCCTGAAAAATGAAGGAAAGGAATGGATGCCTTCTCTCATGTAGTACCTCCTGCGTAGCTCAACGACATTCAGCCAGCGAGGACAGCCACACGCTCCGCCTTCAGCCTCTCGCCGGGTCAGTCAGCTTCAGGTAAGTTCGAAGTGAGCCGATGACCTTCATTCATCCGTTGATAAGCCACTGAATTCTTCATCATGAGGTTTGTGTGTGTGCAGCGCATCACCGTGCCCATTTCACCCGTTTTCCCTGCATCGCTGCCTCTCGGCTTCCCCGGCAGTGACTGTCTGTCTTGAGGCTTTCTGTTCGTTCTCATGGTTATGCCCCTAGATCTTTCAGATTCTGCCATCTCTATCGCCTCTCTTCCTTCATCAATGACCTCCTATCTCTCTTCTCGCTCGATAACCTCATCTTTGCAATGGAGAAGCCGACTGCCGGGCCACAAGCTGACGTAGGAAAGGAGTCCATATCCATGATGCGCAGGTGAGAAGAGGTATAGAGAGCGGGTGAAGGTATGGTCAACTGCTCTCCATCTTGCTCTGTCTGTCAGCTGCTGACCGGCTGCATGGCGTCAGCGTCTCGCATAATGCTCTCCGTCAACGCCTGCCTGACCGCATCGAGAAGAGTGACGTTTGCGGAAGGTCTTCTTACCACGAGTGCCCTTGCGTTGATTGTGCCGATGTCGACGCATCAAGGAAGATAGACCAGCGGCCATCAGCCACTCTGCCAGAAGGCACGGGAAGCGAGGAGAGAAGGGCGTAAAAGTGCCAGGCCAGCTAGAGGAGGGCGAGAGGAGTTGGCGGCTCGAGGACGATTGAGAAGACACTTGAAGCGATTGCGTATACCTGACAGGTACACACACACACACACACAGAGCCAGACGATAGCTGTCAGTCCGCTGCTTGTAAGTCCTCTCTCTCCTTTTCTCTCCCTCTCCCTGTCCCTCTCTCTTCTCTGTTCTTTGTTCTTTGTCCTTTTTGTCCTTTCCCATCAGGCGCGCGGACACGCCTCCGCTTCTGCCGATGGTCCCAGCTCTACAGCATTTGAGAGGCTCAGCTTTCGTCATTTCACCCATCCCGCGCTCCTCCGTTTGCCATTTTATATGATCCAGATGGCGCTGCAGCCTCCCGCTATCTGCCCTCGTCTCTTGTTCAGCCACCGTCCCCCTCCCCGGCCCTTCTGGCGCCGCCTTCTTTCGCCTCACGCCAGCCATGCCATCTCCCGGCTGCCTCCCCGGCTGCTTGCCTGCCTGCTGCTCCGGATTGACTCCACGTCTCCAACACTCGCCATCCTCCCGGCCACAATGTCGGCAAGGATGTCCGCTCCCTGCCGGTGGCTGCAGCTCTTCAGCCTCTCAAGAGACATCAGATTTGTCATCCCTAGTCTCCTCTCTACCGCTCTTCTCTAGTATAATGCGCCATCGAGTGCGGCTCAGCCTGGGTCGACAGGGCGGCAAAGGGGAGAATCTCTCTCTTTCTTTCTCTACCGAATGCTAGAATTACTACATCGCCTCGAGTGCCTCTGGGCTGGCTGTGTCGCTTTTAACGGATCGCTGAAGAGAGAGGGAGACGCCGGCGGCCGGCCAGCCAGGCTACAAGAGGGAGAGGTATGTGGAGACAGAAATGTTGCTGCTGCCTGAGAGCTGTCGGTCCCAGGAAGGCGAGATCCGCTTGAAGAGGCACCCCATTGCGATGATCCCCAGCGAATGCAGCCGACCAGGACCTGATGGATGCACACACATCACATGCAAGACCAAACAACAGGTATCATACCACTTTCTTGCCCTTCTTCTGTGTGTCCCTTCCTTCCTGTTCCCCGCTGCGTGTATTGCCAGCTCGGCCACCTGGACAGTGCCATAAACTTGCCGGTGTCCCTCTTGAGGACAGGGCCACCAGGACATTGTCTGTGCGCCATGCGCACACACTCACCTGGGTACGCACAGACAGGAAGCAACTCATGTCACATGTACATATGCGCCGAGTGTGTGTGGGTCTCTCTCTCTCTCTCTTTGTGTTTGTGTGTGTGTGGCTTGAAGGATACGAGCCAGCTGGTCCAGATGGCCGCTTCAGCCTTCAAAGTGGCGAAGGAGGACCGCCCCCGCCCTCGCCCTCGACCCCCTCTCCTCTATCACCACCCCCATCCTCAGCGTCAGCCTCGCCGGTGGCTGCAGCTCTCCACCCTCTCGAGAGACATCAGATTTGTAACCCCTAGTCCCCTCTACCCCCTTCCCCGTACGTAATCCGTCATCGATTGCGGCTTTCCCTTCCCGCCAGGCGGCCAGAGAGGAGAATGGTCGCAATGGCTGCCGATGATTGGAAGTGCTTGTTTGCCTCAATGAACGTTGGTGCGTGACTCATTGACTCGATATGCCGAGGAGTGCACGTGCCACATCACCATGCTTTCGCACACCACCGCACAGAGGGCCCGGCAACCCCATGGGGGCCGGCCTCTGTGTCCCTAGAAGGGATGCATTTCTGCTCATGCATTTGGTCGGGGCCCTTTGCAAATGCCATCGTGTTGACATGAATGATGCTGTAGGGACCTCAAAGTGGAGCCCCGAGATGCCAAAACGTCGCAGGACCACGCCCAAATCGGGGCCCGCTCAATTTTGGGCCCGCTCAAATCCGGGACGTGCTGTTCCTGTAGATCTTTGCCGAGATCTCCAGCCTATGGCAGGCTCCTGATGCCCTCTATCGAATCCACTCGCATGCATTGCGTGGGGAAAACTTTTCTGCTAGCTTAGCTTCTAGATCTGCACCTGCATTCATTTACCCAAGGTGTTGCATCTGCAGGGTTTGTTTTATGGCCCGTGTTCATCTGCGGTGTGGGGCAGGAGTCCGCAGTTCGATTTCCGTGCGTTGAATGTTTGCACCGTGGCCGACCCGATGAAAGATCTGAACGGAATGGCCTGCAGACGGACTGCCGGCAGGCGTCGCACAAAGGCGGAGGAGGCGCTGGGCGGTTCTGTTCATTTCTGCGCCACGGCTCAGCCTGGCCGCCTGGGAACGTCTGAACGGCTTGGGGTTACGATGAAGCCAGCTCATGTAATGGTCAGCTCATAGGACTCACAGAGTACATGCGCACATCAAAAATATCCGTAAGCAACAAGGAGCGCTTCGCCCCACTGGGCTCCCATCTCTCGGTCACTCGGCAGAGTCCCTCAGGTACTCGGGCTGCACCCATCCATCCATCGACAGCCAACACACGTCCACACCAATCAATGCACGTGACAAGGCAGGCAGAGCCACTCATACCTTGATGATGAGGTATTTGAGTCCGTCCTTCTGCGGCGCCGAGAGGGTGGCCACCTCCTTGAGAATGTCCCCTACTAGCTTGGTCTTGGCGTCACCCTTCTTGAGCTTCAGACGAGATATCACAACCTGATTCACGATACACACAAACAAAAGCCGTGTGGGTCCCGTGTGTCTTCACTGGTCGGCTTGGTCACCTTGGTGAGGCATCTCCCTCCGTCTCTCCTCAGCTCCCGGATGATGCGGTCCTTGAGCTGCTTGTACTCGCTCGGAGGACCCCTGCATCCACACAAACACACGTACGTCAAGGATGTGTGATTTTCGTTCTCTCCCCGTCCCCCCGTACTTGGTCGGCTGCATGAGCCCTGGCGGCGCCCCAGGTGCCCTCTCTGGCGGCCCGGCCTCGGCAGATGGGGCAGGGGGGCCGTCTCGTGATGGCGGCCCCTCCGCCTCATTCTCCTCCTCGCCCTCGTACGCCGCCAGCTCGTCATCGGCAGCGACCTCCTCAACATCCTTCAACAGGTGCTTGACGTCCTGGACGACACACACATGGCACGATGATGTGGGTGGGTGAGTGGTCGCGTGGCGCATAAGACTGACCTTGCCGAAGTTGGTGAGGGGCTCGTCTCTGTCATCCTCGTCGTCATCGTCTGACGGCTCCTGACACACACAGCCAACACACAGGCACGTCAGTCCCTCCCTCCCTCCCTCCCTGGCCGCACCTGCTGCGCCTTGGCATTCGCCTCGGCCTGAGAGTCTTTGTCCTCCTCGTCGTCACTGGCCCGGCCATCGTCGTCCCAGTCCCACTGCACGGCGTCCTTCTCGAGATTCAGCATGGCCAGCGACCTGACACGACGCGGCAATGGATAGTCCAACACACGTGACGTTATGGACTGCGTATGTGTTGTGTGCTAGGTACGTACGAGTCAGGTATGTCGGCCTCCTTCCTCCCCTCGCCGCGCTTGAGCTTCTTCATGCGCGCCAGCTTGTGGCGCTCAGTGCTGCATGGACCACATCACACCGACCGGCATAGAGGAAAGGTGAGGTAGATGGACGGAATTAACGTTGCTTCTGTGTATGTGTGTGTGGGCATCTGGGCAGCGTACTTACGTTTTCCTAACGTCTTCTTCTTCGAAGACGTCATAGTCGTCCTCATCCTCATCGGCATCCACATCGTCCTCCGGCAACCGACGCTTCACTGAACACACACACCGCACAAGTGGATCCGTAGACAGGCAGAGCAGCCATTCATCGGATGTCACTGACCTCTCTTTGCTGCGGCGGCATCCTCTTGCTCGCCCTCCTCCTCGTCGCCCTCCTGACCATGGTGGAGGACCTTGCCTGCACCCACACCAACCCACAGACACACCCATGACTTAGGCACCATGTGGGCGCGGCGCTTCGGATGCACTCACGATCGCGGGCTCTTTCGGCAGCCGCCAACGCAGTCTTCCTCTGATGGCAAACCAAACGAAACGCAGCCAAACGCAACAACAATCAGATCAGAGATGAGCATCCTCGCCATTCTCTGAGCGCTATTTGCCCACCGTTCGTTCCACTTCCTCCACTGAGAGCTTCGTCTTGCGCATCTTGGGCTGGAAGTCGTACCATGCCGACAGAGGGATGGCCTCAGCACGATTGCCCTGCACACAAACACACAACAGCCAACACATGTGAAAGGATGCACACGCACATCCATGTCAGCTGTTCGTTCCTTCCTTTGGCTGTTGACCTGTTCGACAACGACGAAGTAGGTTGATGTGTCGAGGGCACTCTTGGAGCCGCTGAACTCCTTGTGGCGTGGATCACCGCTGTCCCGCAGCAGCCAGGGCAGCTTCTGGATGTCATCCTGAGTCAAGGGCTTCGGCGGCTGGCTCTCCTCGCCCTCCTTCGCCTCTGGCTGAACACACCACAGCACCACAGGCACAGAAAGAAAAGCACACAGATCATCCATCCATCCATCGACAGCAAGATCTATGGCTGTGTGTGTGTGTCTGAGCTTACGACGTCTTTCATCATGATGAGCGGCTCCGTCAGCTTCCGCAGGTTGACATCTGGAGGGTACTTGGCGGCGAAGAAGCTCTTGAGGTTCGCCTTCTTTGACAGACGAAGCTCCACGGTGCCGCGACGACCGTCTGACATTCTTGGTCACAGGAACACGCAGCGTAAGGTCGGGATCACTTGCGGCAGCCCATGGCTGTCCTCAAAAGCCATACGTGTTCACCAATCTACTCCAAGCTCGCATTTTGGCGCCTAGGGTGCTCCCTGAACCGCTGCCACTCAGCGGAGAAGCCAAGCTGGAAAGGGGCATGATGACGGCATCGGCACTGTGGTGCATCTTTCCCATCTTTGCCCTCCCCATCTCGCATGCCTTCCGACCCCTCCCCGCACCCGTCCCCCTTTCCCGCCCTCCACCCACACCTTTCCACGCAGAGGCGCCTCATCGGTCGCTGAGGCGGCACGCCACTGCTATGTCTGCGCGTAAGAAGAGTCGGATCTTTGAGCAGATCGTGGCTGCCGAGGAGGAGGCTGAGCCGGAGCCTGTGGACGACGTGCGGCTTGATTGGGAGGAGGCCGCCTTGCCGTCGCCGACGAGGGATTACAAGATCTACATGCAGTTCAACCCAGAACGATCTGACCTCGAGCTTAAAAAGGTCGGGCAGTGTGTCCATGATGCAGAGGACAGTCTGCATGGCTTTCCATGTGTGTGTGTGTTGTGCAGGTGGTGTATGGCTACGTGCAGCAGCTGCAGCGGCTAGGGTGCGGCGACAACATCAAGGTGTTTTACCGGGGAAGGAAGCCGATCAACCCGCCGTTCATCCAGGGCTACGACTCGTTCCACTTTGTGGAGATTTGGGTGGGCCTCTTCCCAAGCGCCGTGCAGGTCCTCAAACTCACATTCGACGCAGACAAGGACCTGCTCAGGTGAGGGAGGAGCGGCAGGCATGGCAAGGCTCGGTGTGTGCCGTCATGACCACTCCTGTGTCTGTGTCTGTGTCTGTGTGTCTGTGTTAGGTATATGATCATGAAGCGCCTCAAGATGAAGAAGAAGGAGCAGGAGAAATACATCGAAGAGACCGCTGGTGAGAGAGACATTCTGCCACCTCGTGGATGGCTCCATCCACCTGTGAGTGTGTGTGTGTGTGTGCGTCTGCAGCTCAAGAGGCGAGTCGGTTCGGCGGCCCTCGTGACGACTACAGCTATGTGGAGGGCGTGTCTTTCGACCCTGCCATGAACAGATGACGCACGTACCTACATGAATGGGATGCATGGTGGATGGCTACTCGGCTCTACTGGCCCCCTCCCCTGCTGCTGCCGACGTGCCTTTTTCGGTGTGCCTTGTGGTCTACCCAATGAAGGAAGCCATACACATGACATGACGCTCTGCCGATGACTGACGTGCTGCCGTGTCTGTCCGTCTTGCCCATCTGTCTCTCCCATTCTCTCTGCACCGCTTTCCTTCCCCTCGGTCCGTTGTCATGCTGGTTGGGTGGCCATGCGCACGTACATAACATACGTGTGGACGAGCCTGTCACCGGAGTGATGACGGACAGGGGGCAGGCAGGCCGTCTGGTGTGATGTGGGTTGGTGTGCGTATGCGTTGACAAAGTCGTGAGCTCGCTCGCTGCACACACGGATGGGATAGATGAGGTGATGAGTGACACTATCTTACCTGCTCGTCTCCCTCGCGCCTTGCTGGGTGTGCGTGTCTGTGCGTGGAGGCGCATGTCGGTGTTTGTAGACTGGCCTCAATCTCCCGGCCACACACACATGTGCAGACAGACAGACTGATCGGTCGCTTTCAAGGCTGTCTGTCATGAGAACCATGAATATGCAGTACTCACCTCAGCTCACACACCCCAAGCCCCCACGGCATCCATCTCTGCCCACCAGATCAGTCAGCCTGAACAAGACATCCGTCCACTGAGTCAGCACAGACCAGTAGGTGCCCTCATCCGTTGGATTGAAGAAAGCCAGACACTCCGCTGCGGTCATTTCCCCCTCGGATGAGGCAGCACTGACCACCTCACCTTGACCCAGCTGCAGCCACGAGCTCGCCACCAGAGCCTCACCGTGTCTCTCCCTCTCTAGCAGCTCATCGAGCGTCATGTTCATCAGCCGCTCATACCTTGAACGCAGTGGGGGCCTCTCGCTCTCGGGCAAGAAAATCTCCAGGGCAAAGGAGTAGCTCTTGAGCGTGTCATAGGCGAAATCAAGGCCGCTCCCCGGGCAGTCGCCCCCATTGAGAATGGCGGCTGGTCCGAAGGGCACCTTGACGGTGGCCGATGAGAGCTGCCTGAGCCAGGTGTGCATCTTCTGCGCGCCCCAGGAGAGGGCGGCGCTGCGCGAGAAGGCATACGGATGATAAAGTCCCATATTGCCGCTGCCAACACGCAGAGAGGGAGAGAGACACATGTAATGAAGCTCCCGCCTCCTCTCTCAGCCTCCCAACCTGTGAATGGTCGCCATTACTCTCGGCCTGAAGGTCGTCAGCACATCCCGAAACAGCCGCGTCTCAGCCTCGCTGAACGCGTTGGGGCCTCCCCATTCCACATCATTGCAACTGCCGTGTTCCCTCCAGTGGCTGTCCCAGTTGCGGTTCAAGTCCACCCGATTTGGGTTCGCCCGGATGCAGTAATCGCCTGTCTCCACTTTCTCCCGTGACCGTGGGTTAGAGTTGACCAAGATGCGGAAAGAGGTGGTCCGCAGTGCATCAGCCGCTTGTTGCAAAAGGGCCTGGGGCAGTGAGGCCGACGTGTCGTTGCAGAGGAGTCTCACGACAAAGAGGCCTGCACATCACATCACAGGCACCACCAGAGACAGTGAGGATGCCGCGGCATTGCCGCCAAGCACCGACACTTACATACCCATCTCGGACGATATCAGCTCCCTTGCATGTTCGCCGAAGAAGAGGAAAGCGCGATTTGGCGTGTCCTTGGCTGCGCTGATGTCCGCCACATCAATGACAAGATGATCATCAGCCCTCTGCTGATGCAGATTGAGATGTGGTCACGAGCCGTTGAGCCGCATGAGCTCTTGATGCAGCTGCGCTGCCGTGTGGTAGAAGGGCAGCCTTTGCAGAAGGGCGGCTGATGTCGCTGAGGAGCCATTCGATAAGTCGATGACGTCGGCCCGGGGATGTGCTTATGCAATGGCCTTTGTTGGGGCTGCAGGCTCGATGGCCATCCATGGGCGGCAAGTGTCCAAAGCAATGGTAAGAAGTGCCAAACGAACATGACAAGGGTTCCAAACCCCAAGGGTTCAACGGCGAAAAACGTTCGCCTTTCGCGGCGTTTTTCGACGGAAGGAGGGGATCCGAGAGAACCCACCCGATCACCTGTTCTCTGTTGTCTTGAAGTCCGTGGTTTCCCTCACACCAACGTTCCCGGTCACGCCGTCCACTATTTCCGCTTCACCCTCCAACTGGTTGAGAAGTCCGACGATCAGAGGACTCACCGTCTCGCATTCCACACCAGGGCACCTGTTTCGCAACGCTCAGCTCTGTTTGTTGGCTCCCCCCCTCCAGCTCAGCAATGTTCGGCAAGATCAAGCTCCCCAAGGCGGGCCGCTCGCGCAAGCAGCTGTTCGACGAGGGGGATGGCGACTTGGACTTCAACCCGGCCTCGATGCTCCCACCGGACCCCCCCACCCGCGGCGCGCCGCGATCCGCCCCTCCACCCTTCCGACAAGACTCCACCCAGAGCGAGCGGGACAGAGGCAGAAGCACGATATCAGGGGGGCCTGGCAGTGGAGGCAAGATTGACACCGCTGGGCTGGCAGCGAGGCTGGGACGCACGCCGTCGTCATCTGGTCGAGCGTCGTCGGCTGGCCCGCCTGCTGCTGCTGCTGCTGCTGAGGGCCGCACCCCGAGCAGACGTAAGCTGAAGAACGACAAGGGAGACGGGGGCGGCGAGGGGAGGGCCCGCAGCGAGGTGCGGCAGGAGGGCATGGACATGGCGATTGGAAAGGGCGGGGGCTTCGCGTCGACTCCCCCGCCACCCCGCTCGCCGCGGATGATGCAGGGGATGCAGACGAACAACTCGATGACGGCGCCGAGGCCACCGGTGCCCTTCAAACAGTCGGCACAGTCGCCTCCCATGCGGCCACAGCAGCAAGGGGCACAGGGCGGGCATGGGGGGGCTGCAGGTGGGTCGTTCTGGAGTACGATGGCTGCTGGTCCTGATGACGGACAACAAATTGTCGTCTCCCCCGTCGCTCAGCCACAGCAGCAGCCACCGCAGCAGCCACAACAGCAGCCACCGGCACAGCAGCAGTGGCGCCCTGACAGCAAGGGGCAGCAGCAAGTCACGATGCAGCCCCAGCAGCAGCAACAGCAGCAGGTGCACCCAATGTACGCCACGACTCAGCCCAGCGCAAGACAGCAGCAGCAGCAGCAATATCACCCACAGAAGGCGCTGGAGCCCTTCACCTCGTCAGTCAACAAAATGGCTACGGCCGACATGGTACAGTGGGAGCAGTTGGCACCCCAGCGGCCGGTGCAGCAGCAACAGCAGCAGAGACCACCACATCACACCCAACCACAGCAGACGGCGTATGGTGGCCAGTGGCAGCAACCAGGAGTCCAAGGACAGCCGCAACCGCCCTCCCAGCACCAGATGATGCCGCAGCAACCTCAGCAGACAGGTAGCGGGACAAGGAAATGTCAGCGTGCATCCCATGTCCTCTCTCCATTTGTGTGTGTGTGTGTCGTGTTCTTAGGCGCTGGTCGTTACGCGGCCCAGTACCACACGACACAGGCGATGCCGTCACACCTGCAGCAACCACAGCAACAGCCGCCATTCTATGCCCACCAACAGCAGCAGCAACAGCAGCCCCCAAACCGTCCTCCTCAGCCAATGCCCTCACCCCATCAGCAGCATCAACAGCAGCAGCAGCAGCAGCAACCGGCACCAACGCGTTCCTACGGTCAGGCGAGTCTCGACGACGTGCTGTACGGCGGGCAGGCCCCCCCGCAGCAGCCCACATACGCACCACAGATGCAGGTGACCCCCCCTCAGCGGCGCCCCCCCTCGCCGCAGAGCAAGCAGCTGGAGGATCTACTCGACCTGGGGGACGAGCTAGCTAGCGGCCCAGCCCCTCCGCCTCTTCCCGCGTCTGCCCCGGCATCTGCACCGGCCGTGTCGTCATATCCTTCAAAGTCGCCGCCGCTCTCTCCGGTGCTCATGCCTCAGCCGACGGCGACGCCACCGCCCTCGCAGCGAGACACGTCACCGTGGTCGGCACTCAGCCAGTACCCGGCCACACCACCGGTGTCTTTGGCGAACACGCCGCAGACACACACGCCTTCCAGCACACCGGGGCTGCCGGTCAACCAGTGGGGCCAGCATGGATCGTTTCAACAACAGCAGCAGCGACAGCAGCAGCAGCTCCAGTGGTCAGGTGTGACTCATGGGGGCGTGCAGGACAAGGTTCAGGGAGGGCTATGGAGCACTCAGATGCCGCAGCAGCTTCAGCAAGGTGGGTCTCTTGATGATTTTCTGTGTGTGTGACGACCACTCCCCAACCGCAATACGCATGTGTCTGTCGTGGTTTTGTCTGTTGATCTCAGGTGCGTTTGGTCAGGCCGTCACCCCGACGCACGGCCAGCAGAGTCAGTTCAGCCCACCCCAGCAGCCCAGCGAGCCATCTGAACACCAGCAACGTTCCAAGAGTGTTTTCCATCAGATCTACCATACGCAGCCGGGGCCCAGTCAGCAGCAGCAGCAGCAGCAGGCCCCTGCCCCCTCTCCCCCCCAGCAGCAGCAGCAGCAGGCGCCCACTCCACCCTACACGCCATCTCCTGCCGCACAGGAGCAGCACCCGCAACTCGGCGGCTTTGTGCAGCCACAACAACAGCAGCACCAGCACCAGCAGCAGCACCAGCATCCCGCGATATCCCCTCGCGGCACATATGGGCAACCAGGGCCGCCCCCTGCATTCACCGTGACACCTCCCGCAACCGAACAACAACGCCCCTCGTCAGGTGGCGGTGTGGGCGAGTGGGAGGGCATGCCACTGGGCGACTTCGACATGCCCCCCTCCATGACGGTCAGCATCGACATATCACCGGCAGACACCTACACCATGGCCACCTCCTCCACATCCCCCCACGGCACCATGGCGTCGTCGAGCGGCGGTGGAGGGCAGATGACGCGCGACACCTTGTGGTCCACCACCAGCGGCCTCAGTGGGGGGCAGACCAGCACCAGCCAAATGGGCAGTCAGGAGACCGCTCTCTCGGCCTTCGGCCACTATCCCCAACACCAGCAGCACCAGCAGCACCAGCAGCAGCCGTCGTCGGGCGTGCTGCCGCCCTTCCATTCGCAGCCACCGTCGCGTGGGCACCTCACACCGTCAAGCGCATCGTCACAGATGGGCAGCATGCCCCCGTCTCCCGTGCCGCAGGAGGCAGCCGCGATGGGCAACATTCCAGCACCGGCACCAGCACCAGCACCTGTTCCGCCCGTCATGCTGCAGTCGATGCAGCAGCCACAGCCACAACTGGTGAGGGATGACCCTTTTGCCGAGGCGGACGCTTTCAACCCCTCCCTGTCCAAGGGGCACACCCCGAGATCGGGAGGGCAGATGGGGCAGTCGCCGCAGATGGGCTACCAGCAGCCAATGGGGATTGTTGATGAGAAGGCGGCGGCTCATGCGTTCAGCGATCTGACGAGCATGCTGATGGGGCAGGGGCAGGGGCAGGGCCGCCAGCAGCAGGTTGCGCCGCAGGTATCGACTCAAGAGATCTGTCATGCTCATGGTTGTACGAGTGTGGCTTCTTCCTGGTTCAGAATAAGTCGTTTGTGTCACTCCAGCAGCAGCATTTGCAGTCACAGCCAGGTGGCAGCACACCGCCTCAAATGCAGCCCTTCCCCCCACTGCCACCACACCAGGTGACAAAGATGAAAGGACAACAAAAAAACAAACGTCACTCCTTCTCTGTCTTTTATCAGGGGGGCGGTGGTGGTATGGCACACCAGCACCATGAGCAGAAGCAGCAGATGCAGCCACAACAGATACCATTCGGATTTCCCCAACAACACGCGCACCAGCAACAGCAACAGGCCCCTCCCATGCAGCAGAGCGGCCTGTACCAGACGGTGCCGACGGCCGCCGCCCACCTGCAGTTGCCGCAGCAGCAGATGGCCACCACCAGTCTCAGCAGCAGTCTCAGCAGCAGCCTCAGTACCCCTATGTTCGGCCAAAAGGGGACTGGCCACACGCACGCAGCTGACCCCCAGGGCATGCAGGAAGCCCTCGCACACCATACACAGGTGGGTCAGACCACACACCAGACCAGGTGACAGAGAAAACATTGTGCGCCACTCCTCTCTCTCCCTGTCTGTGTGTGGTGCAGGCATCAGCGGATCGTTCAGCGGCATTTTTGACCGCTCAGCTGGCGTCGCTGCGGCTGCCTACCCGAGAAGAGGCCGATCAGGCCTTTCAGAACCTCCTGTCTGGAGGAGGAGGCGCGGACAACAAGCCTCCTCCTCCCGCCATGCCGACCGCCCAGCCATTTGCACCCGCGGTGCGCGCCAATCAACGCACCGCCCCCAACCAACGGGCACACACACCATGGGCTCCCTCCTCCGTGTCCCGTGTGTGTATGTGTGTGTGTGTGCAGGGTTCTCAGGTGATGGCTAAGGCGGCTGGCGTGGGTGCGGTGATGTCTCATCAGGACAGTCTCTCGCCCGGCGTGGCCATGAGCCGCCAGACGGGGCTGGGGCCATACGGCCAGCAGCAGGTGGTCCACCACCCTCAGCAGCAGCAGCAGCAGCAGCAGCAGCCTGGGGCTATGCACGGGTTCGGACAGCAGCCGCAGCCGCAGCAGCCGCAGCAGGGGTGAGAAGGACAGCCTGACGAGTTCGCGTGTGCATTGATGTGTTGCGCTGTTTGTGTGCACTGCAGTGGGTTTGCGCAAGGGTTTTCTCAGCAGCCGGCAGCAGGACAGCAGCAAGCAGCACAGCAGCAGCAGCAGCACCATACACAAGGAGGCCACGGTCATGGCCTTCTGTGAGTGAGTCCGCTTCCGTCGTTTCTCTCTCTCTTTCTTCCGCCTTTTGGCGACCTTGTGCGTGCGAGTGGCGTGAAGTGGTGTGGGCGAACACAGCTGAGATGAAGGGCACGGGTGTGTGTGAGGGAGGGATGGCTCAACTTCTTGAGTGGCTGGCTGCCGATGGCCATTCGTTCCTTCTCTTACTTTGTATGGGTGATGGGACACACACACAGAGAGAGAGAGGCCAATTCGTTTGCTTTCGCGCACTATACTCCATCCACCACACACATGCTCACACACCTGACCTGCACACCCACACTCTTACGTAAATTAGTCAGCAGTCTGTCTGTTTTCCCGCGCACCCGTCTGTTTTTCGCTACCCTTGCTACACCACACATCCACACCCACACGCATACCCTGGCTGGCTGGCTGGCTGGCTGACTGACACGATGCACGCACACACGCGAGAAGGGGTGCGCCTTTCCTTCCAGGCCTGTCTGTTTGCTGTGCGTTTCTTTTTCGTGTTGCTGCGTATTGCTTGCGACCGATGGGTGGGATGGATTGACACGTCAGGCACGTCAGGCACGTCAGACACGTCAGACACACTGTCACTCACGTCAATCAAGGCTACACGACTATGCCGGTCATCGGCTTGAGGAAGTGGGAGGGGTGGTGCTCGTCGCCCAGCTCTATGCGCAGCAGAGGGGGCAACCTGACACACACACACACACACACAGGGACACACACCCCGACACACAGTGCGCAGGCTGGCACATGAGTGAGCCAGCCGTCTTGACGCACCTGTTGTCGAGTGGTCTGGGTGGCAAGTGGTAGTCCTCCCCCATTACAAGGTGCCACAAGAACTCAAACACAAAACAATGAGACGACCTGACCACCCCCCGCCATCCCGCCATCACACACCCCACACACACAAGAACAGACACAGTGAACAAATCATCTCATCTAGACAGCCAGCCCCCCACAGCCCACCCCACCTGTCCGGCAGTCCTTTCTCGACGCATGTGTCTCGTATGGACCCGTCCACCATGGTGGCCATGTGCCGATAGAAGGAGGGGGGCCGCTGCGTCAGCCGCTCCCTCGACACCACAAACTGCGCGCAGCAGTAGGTGCTCAGGATCTTATCCTTATCCGGCGGCTTGTCGAACAAGACCCTGCTCAGAACGAACATAACATGCCCACCATCACCATTGAATGCAGTCAGGTCAGCGTGTCCCAACCAGTGCTTGCCTACTCAAAGGTGGACTCCATGCAGGGCGTGACCGTCTCAAGGTGCCTGACACAACACACACAACACATCCAATCCACCTCCGGGCACCTCCCCACACACATCCACTCGTTCGCACCTGTGTGTGTTGAGGTGAAAGAACGGCACCTCCCAGGTCCCCTGCTGCATGGCCGCCAGCACACTCGCCAGCAGCGCAACCCTCAAATGATTCGGCGCGTCGCCCTGCAGCATGACCAAGTAGTCACTCAACGGAAACATCCCGCCCCCGTCCCTCTCCCCCTCCCCCCCTCCCAGCACACTATTGATGTGCGTCAGGTAGGCCGTGCACTCGTCGCCCCGCACAGTGCCGTCCGAGAGGGGGATGACTGTGAGCGATGCCACGTGCTGGCGGAGGTCTGAGAGGAGGGTGGTGTTGAGGCCGTAGGTGGCGAGGTTGGCCGGGGGTGGCTCGGTGGGAGAGATTGGTATGGGGGCGGAGGACGGCCTCCTGCATCACACAGCACAGCACAGCACAGCCATCCATGGGAGGGAGAGCTGTGGGCAAGGTCTCTCTCTCTCTCTCTGCTGCATGTGTGGTTTGGTTTTTAGCCACCCTTCTGGTGCGCCGTGGTCGGTGCTGGTGCTGCACTTGGCGTACAGGTAGATGTGGCTCTCCACCGGCCACCTCGTGAAGTCCATCGCATGACTCGCCAGCCACTCCAGCCCCTCCATGCAATGGCACACCACCACAGACACCGAAGCCGACCTCTGCCCTTTGCTCCTTCTCTCGTCAATCAGCCTCTCCACCCTCTCCACAGCCTCTCTCAGCGGCCACACGCGCACCAGCACATCCTGGTGCTCCACAGACACCTCCCTCTCCCTCAGCAGCCGCAAGCCCTCCGCATACACACCGGCAACAACGTCCAGCGGCTCGGTCAGCAGCAGCGCCTCGGCAGCCAGCAGGTGCGCAAACACTATCAGCCCGGGACACTCGGCCACGAACTGAGAGCGGAAGTCTGGCGGGATGCGCAGGAGAAAGAAGGCCCCGCGGATGGGCGGCGGGCTGGTCTGTGTGGTGGCATGTGTGCCATGTGTATGTGTGGCGTAGAAGGCTTTGATCTTGGCTTGGAAGGCCGCCGCGTTGAGGCGGAACTCGTAGCACTGCTCGTCCACACACCAGGCCAGACTGTACTCGGAGAAGCACTGATGCGCACCGATCGGCCAGGCGTGGATGAGCCACAGACAGACGAGAGATAACCAGATCCACTGCTCCATTCGCCAGATCTCTCCCAGCCGGCCAGAAAACCCGGCCACACCTGCGAGCTCAGAATGATTTGAAGGGTGCGAACTGTAGAGGTTGCCGTCAGCAGACTGTTCCCTTTTATCTCGACAGAATAATCGCACCACTGTGAGAGACTCCGTCCTTCTCGAGGCGCGTCAGTCCAGCGAGTAGCATCGCACATCGGCCTAGCATCGGCCAAGGCGCAGGCGGCGGTCCATCTGTCTGTGTGTGCGCGTGAGTATGTCGGTCTCGCCGTCGGCTCGGCTCAATCGTCTCCTCGACGGCGACGATGGGGCGGAAGACACTGAGATGACTGAAGGTACGACGTCGGTAGTCGCTAGGACTCACGTGTGTTGGCTGGTGCATCTCTCGGTGCTGTGGTGTGGTGTGCCGACTGTCAGGTGAGAATGAGGCGCTGGAGAAGCAGGAGGAGGAGGCAGAGAGCCACCCGGTGAAGTACGAGAACTTCGACGACCGCACGCTCGCCGTCCTCAACTCACTCAACAGAGAAAACATATTCAAAGGCACGGCAGGAGGCACACGAACCACACGAACCACACGAACCACACGACACACAGACACCCACACATCGTGTCTGTCTTTCCTTCCTCCCTCTCAGTGCTGGATGGCGTGGTGGGGGGCGAGCAGGGCAAGGCGGTCCTCGCACAGACCCTCAAAGACGTGGCGGGAGACCTGCTGCAGCAATACGAACGGGTCAGTCCAGTCAGCACCTCACCTGAGCTCATCTGACCTGAGCCAATCCCACCTGAGGATGACGATACAATATATCTCTTGATTGATCTATAACCAGGCATCGGCCGAGCAGTACAACACGCTGGAGACCGGCGGGACTGGCGGCGCCTCGGCGTCTGCGTCTGCCATGGTCAACAGGCAGCCGTCGTCGTCGGACAAAATGGACGTGTCGGTGGAGCCCTCAGAGAGCGGCGATAAGGACGGCGGCCGACACGAGGAGGCGGACGAAGAAGTCGATGGGCTCGAGGGAGAAAGTCAGTCAGCGAGATAGATTACCCATAGTGTCTGTGTGTGTGGTGGGTGGACGGAAGTGTGTGTGTGTGTGTGTGCAGCTGAGTTGGAGCAGAAGTTCCGCAAGGATCCCAACATCTTCATGAGGAAGGCGAGATACGTGCCGCTCAGACTCACATACGACGGTATGTGCGGTGTGCAGCGGACGGACGGACACCATGCCGTCCGCAAACACACAGCTGCTCTGGGGCCATGTGTATCATCACGGGTGTGTATCATCGCGCGCGCGTGTGTGTGTGTGTGTGCAGAGCGTAGTCTGTTGCGTCTGTTGGAGAGTGCCTTAGAGGTGTCCGAGTACACTGACAAAGTCGACGTCTTCACCGGCGGCAACAAAGCCAGACTGTACCCCAACACACACACACACACCACCACCACCATGGCCTCACTCGTTGATGGCTTCATGTGTGCGTGTTGTGTCTGTCATGTGCAGCATGGCGGTCCAGATCCGTCAGATCTGCTCCATCCTGTGTGGGCTGGTGGTGGCGCACAACTACGAGATCGGCCAGGCGCTCATCAAAGACAGAGAATTCGCCGACAACGCCGTAAGAACGAACAACAAGACGAAATGCCACAGCCACCGGCCACCGACAGACTGTGTGTATGTGTGTGTGTGTGTGTGTGATGGATCCCTTCCCTTCAACATCAGGATTTTTTCAAGATAGTGTTTGAGATCGGCCGGCGTTACAAGATCCTCAATCCAGAGAGGATGCGCGGATCCTACGGCAAGCTGCTCTTCCTACTACAGGACAGGTGGGTGCCGACGCCAAACAGCCAAAACAACCAGCCGCTGGATGTTCCCACGTCTGTGTGTGTGGTGTGTGGTGTCTGGTGTCTGCAGTGTGAAGCCTGACGTGCGCGAGCTGCTGGGGTTTTCGCCGGTGGCTGACGAGGTGGTCACCGTCTACAAGGTGGGTGTGTGTGGTGTGGTGGGTATGGTCACCTCACACGGACATGCACGGATGGATGGATGTGCAGGTGTTGGAGCACAAGAAGAATGGCCTGGCGCTGCTCAAGGACCCGCTGCTGTGCAAGGCTACCATGGGTGGGTCTGCCTGCAGTGGATGGAGTGGCCACACAAGGACGGCAGCCAGCCAGCCAGCCAGCCAAGACGTGCCGGCGAAAGGATATGATCCCATGTGTCCCTTTCTCTCCTCTCTGTTGCCTTGATTCAGAGATCCTGCCCGAGGGCAAGTCACGCGCACAGATCCAGAGGGAGATAAGAACCAAAGAGGTGCGTGCGCAGGAAGACAGACAGCCGCCATGACATGACCACGTCCAATGACGAAATTGTGTGTGTGTGTGTGTGTGTGTGCGTGTTGTCTCTGTGTCCAGGACGCCCAGAAGGCGCTGATCCGCAAGTACGCCTCGCGCAACGTCACGAGACAGGCCCAGAGGGGCGGCAGGTTCTTCACTCTCAGCCTAGGTACACAAACCGACCACCGGCACACGGCGCACACACAAACCACTGGCGCATCCGTGTGTGTGTGTGTATGTGTGTGTGTAGGGTTATTTGAAGTGACCAAGGGGACGCACCCGGGCGGTTCTGACACGGACAGCGACGATGAGGACAAAGACAGAAATGCACCGCTCCTGCCTGATGACATCGAACAGGTGCGCTGCGCATCGGCAGCCATCCATCCATCCATCTGTGTGTGTGTGGTATATGTGTGTGTGTGTAGTGCATCTACTCGTTGGGCGACCACAACAGCCACCTGCGGTTCAACCGCTACCCCTGCGACAAGATGATCAAATACCTCAAGGACCACTTCAGCCCTGACGAATATGTCAGACACACACACAGACAGACAGACAGGAACTCGCCCACCTTATCCACCGGTCGATGGACCATGCATGTGTGTGTGCGTGTGTGTGTGTGTGTAGGAGGATCACTATTCCCTGGCCATCTCAGCCGGCCGTGGCGGCGCGCGCCTCTCCCACTCGCACAAGCGGCAGTACACCTACGTCCTGCAGTCGCTCGAGCTGTGGAGAGACGTCCTGCACTTCGTAATTAATAACCAGCCACCCCTCAGACACACACACCACGGCCCCTGGGCATCATCCATCCATCAATTCAGCCCCTCCCTGTGTGTGCGTGAGTGTGTGTGCAGCTGTTTGAGTTGTGGCATCGCACCGAGAAGGATTTGCTGAACCCCAATAACCCCTACAGGCTGCGCGACACCGGCCAGGGGCTCAACAGAGTCCAGAGCGCACCGAACGTGTCAGACGCCGTTCACAGGATCATCAAGTATGTAGGCCAAGCAGCTGTCAGCTGCCCTTGGCTGCCTGCGTACGCTCTGTGTGTGTTTGTGTGTGTGTGTGTGCAGTCGTGTGCAGAATCGTGTTGGCGGTTGGGTGGGGTCGTCAGTGGTGCACCTGGGCGACCACAACGTTCCCAACGCCCTCGTGTTTATCGACAAGTACATCCAGGTGCGTCCCTCAGTATAAGCGACCACACACACACACACACACAGCAAACACGCGTGTGTCTGTGCTGTGTGGTGTGTATCGTGTCAGGTGCCGCGCATCCTGAGCCCGGTGGTGCTGTGCCTCGACAAAATCGACGAAGTCTACACGCAGCAAGACGGTAGGTACGGTACCCACATCAAGTCAAGGGCAGCACACACGCGCCAGCCATCACGCCACCGTTGATGCGGTGTGGTGTGTGTGTGTCTCGGATGAGTGCAGGTCTGAAGAGCTACATCGACTCGACCTTCGGCGGCCCCACCAAGCTCAAGAAGCTCATCCTCTGCGACTTCTTCAGACACGCATTCGACGGCAGCGGAGCCGACAACTTCTTCGACGCAGGTCGGTCAGGCGCCCTCTCCCCCTTACTCGTTGTCCCCTGTCCCTCATCAAGGCGCATGTGTGGCTGGGCGTGTGTGTGTGCGTGTGTGTGTGTGTGTATGTGTGTCAGGTTCGTGCATCGACGGACGGCTGACGTCGGCATGGAACTGGTGTTCGAAGGTCGAGAAGAAGTCCTACTTCCCCGTGTTCCTGCTCACGGGCTTCACGGGATTCGACGGACGATTCTGAAGCCACACACTTATCGGTGTGTGTGGGGGGCGGG